GAGTAAGATGATCAAGCATGGTATAGAGAGGAAGTTAATTGAGCAGAAAGTAACTTTTATGAACGGGCTGAAACCAGAATGGATGGCTGTTGTATCAACTGTGAAAGCACATGAACAGTTCAAATCCTACTCTCTGGCGAAACTGGTGGGAATACTCAAGTCCCATGAAAGTGTGGTAACCAAAGAAGCGAAAGTTGTTTCTGGTATGGGATCTCTGGCTCTTGTCTCAAAAGGCAAAAGTATCCCAGAAGATGAAGAAGAGACTGATATGTCTGAGTGTGATCTGACTAGCGAGGAATATGCTTTGATGATATCCAATCCGAAGAATTTTGCAAGAAGAAAATTCCCTGTCAACAAGAACCGAAACTGGCAGGGAAGTTACAGCTCTGAGAAGGTGAAAGATGAAGCAAAGAACTCCTCTCAAAAGGATGATGAAAAGAAGGAGAGTAAGCTTGCAGGAAACTCTGGATACGACTGCAATTACTGTCACGGCAAGAACCATTTTGCCAAAGATTGCATGTTAAGAAAAATGGCTGAGAAGAGAGAGAGTGAAGATGATGAGGCGTACTATATGCGCAAGTTAGAAGAAGTCAAGAAGAAGAAGGCGACTAACAGCTCAATGAATGCCTTGATTGTACAGGAGAATGTTGGGGAAGATGAGTTCGGTGGCGTAGAAGTGTGGTCAACCGACTCTGAAGATGAAGAGGTTAGAAGGCCCACTCATGGAAAGGCTTTTGTGGCAAAAGAAGAAGGTTTGGCTGGAAGGTGTTTAATTGTCACTGCTGGGCCATCAACCGAAAATGGGTAGGGATTTATCTAATTTTATAATTATACTATTTAACCAGATAAACTGATAATTACCAAAAATAAGGAAACCCTATCAATACTTACCAATTTTCGAAAATTGCATGCTTGGGAGGAAGGCAAGGATTTCAAGCCTTACCTTATTTTCAAAATATTGAGGGGCAAGGAACCCCTCTCAAAAACGAAAACTTAGAGGGCAAGGTAAGGGTTTCATCCCTTACCAAAATTTCAAAACTTTGGGTCTAAGAAACCCTAATTTCGAAACCCTTGTCCAAGAGGGTTTAATTGCCATAAACCCTTATTTTATCAATTCATCTATTATAACAATTCAATAGAAAACAAGCCAAGGCTCTAATACCACTAATGGGTTTTATGGAAAACAAATAAACTTAAATTCTTAAGTGTGCATGCAACCCTAATGAAGATCTATGTTTTCTCAAATTGAATCTATAACTATGAACATCAAATAAGAACCCTAAGGACACCTAGGTATTTTCAAAATCTAGAAAGAAAGAAGGAAAAATATACCTTTTGATCCTTTGGAAGCAAGCACCACAATTGTCGTGCCTCTAGTGGTTCACACCAAAGCTAGCAATGAAGATAATTGGAGAGAAGGGGAGTGAATGTTTGAATTTCTCTTGGATTAAGAGTGGCCGAAATTTGCAAGGCTTAAGGGTCTTTATATAGTGCACCAAGGAAACCCTAGATAAGCCTCAAACCAATAAAATAACATTATCTTATTTATGGTATTTATTTAGCTTCCTAATTATCCTCTAAAGATAATTCTGGAGCTCATTTTATCTCCATAAAACCGTCCACCACATGGTAGAAGGTTCTGGAGCCTTTTTTTGCTCAACTATTTAATAATTGCACTTTAGTCCCTGCATTTTTAATTAATTCCATTAATCCTGAAATTAATTATAATTAATTTCTGATTAATTATTAATTAAATATTACTATTTCTAATTAATATATTATTTACATAATATATTAATAAACTATTTATTTCAATTTATCAATCAAATAATAAATTAATCTCTCTCTCCAAAAAGTCATCATGTCCAATTGCTAGGTTTGAGGGCAACCCAAAAGGATTGTGCTGCTATCAATTCAAGTTTATACCAATTATAGTTAATAGCTTAGACACCTAATCTAACAATGTATATCAACTAATACAGAGGTATGTTCACCAAAATGAGGTGTAATCAATCTTAAAATTTTTCCATGAGTATGCATGTGGAGTTCATTTTGGTCACAACAAAACCATGCAAAAGGTGTTAGAATGTGGACACTATTGGCCAACAATGTCAAGAGATACATATCTATTTTCAATAGTTGTGATAGATGCCAAAGAATGGGAAGTGTATCCACGAAGAACGAAATGAATCAAAGCCCTATCCTCATTTTTGAAATCTTTGATGTTTGGGGAATAGATTTCATGGGCCCATTCCCCGTCTCTTTCAGTTATACCTACATACTCTTGGCGGTTTATTTCGTGTCAAAGTGGGTGGAAGCAAAGGCTACAATACATGATGATGCTAAAACAGTCATTGACTTCTTGAAGTCAAATTTTTTACAAGATATGGTGTACCAAGAACCATGGTGTGTGATAGAGGAACTCATTTTTTGCACAAAATGATGGAAGCCATGATGAAAAGATATGGTGTCACACAACGGATATCCACCGCCTACCATCAACAAACAAGTGGCCAAGTCGAAGTGTCAATAGAGAAGTAAAGAAAATTATTGAGAATATGGTCAACACCACACAAAAAGATTAGAGTTTGAAGTTAAATGATGCATTGGGGGCATGTCGAACCGCCTACAAAACTCCAAATGGCATGTCTCCATTCCGCCTCGTCTATGGAAAGTCTTTTCATTTACTGGTGGAATTAGAACACAAAGCATATTGGGTGGTTAAAAAGTGTAATTTTAATCTTAAAGAATCCAGGAAGCATCGAAAGATGCAACTTCAAGAAATCAAAGAGTTGAGAAACGAGTCTTATGAAAATGCAAGCATCTACAAAGAAAAGACAAAGGCGTTTCATGACAACAATTTATTCCGGGTCAAAAAGTTCTTCTCTAACACCCGCACAAATTTGGCTCAAAAATGCTCGAAATCAGTATACCTATTGATGTCTACGCGCAACCGGTGCCCCACCCGCGAGACCGCAGCCCCACCCGTGCATAGGCCTACACGACTCACTGCCCACCCTCGCAATCAGATACGCAACCAAGACTGAGGATGCTTTCCCTTGAGCGACCAAGCTAACCTGGTTGACCCACCCATCCTGCCGCTCCAAACCAGATAACCCGGTAACCCACCCATTACACCGCCTGGACCCGACCCACCCTTATAACCCCCATCAAACTCACCTCCTCCCCCCCCCACGCCCCCACTTATGTCTCCTAGCGACGAACTTAGCCTTCACCTACCCTTCACATCTGTCGCCGATACAATCCACCACAAAGACCACCATAAGCTCGTCGACCTCCTGTCGTTGTTACCCGCACATTCGTAGGCGACAGTCCTCATTCATTCTACATCGGTAAATCCCTCCACCAACCCCCTTTCATCCTTCATCTCACCGGAAAAACGCAACCCCCTCCATCTTCATTAATCTAACCGGAAATCGCCATAACCGTCGCCACACTCAAATCCAGTTTCCACCCATACCACTGCACCACCGCCACGTGACCGCTACCAAGCGACGATCACCACCAGCCACAAACAGACAGTAAACAACCGGCCACTAACATTTTCCACAACTTGCCAGAAAATCGAAAAATCTTCATATATCCTCCAACTTCCATCAAATTTCAAAATTTATTGAGGTTTTCTTCATCTAACTCTTCTATGCACGCCGATCTATAACTTTCGGGACCAAATTTCATCGCCGGAAAAGCTTGCTCTGCCCCCGACCGTCGCCGGCCACCGCCACTCCATTTGACGAAAGAATTCGGAATTTTGGTTTCTCTCTGGAGATTCAAAAGACTCAACCTTTCGGGTCAAATTCAAGCTTGGGGTGCGGTTTTTTGGGTGTCGACACTCGAATTTGGTACATTTTTTAAGTTAATTGCATTCAATTTCTTGGGTATTCCTAGAATTATGCTATGAATTAGATTGTTATGCATTTAACTGCTTAGAATTGGATTGGTTTGATTTAATTGAATTGCTTTGACTTGTATTGAATTGAATTGTGCCAAATTGCAAATTTGGAGTGATTTCCCGTTTATCTTGAATTGAATTGATTGGATTGGTGTGAGGCGAGTGTAAAGGATAATCTACTTAAGTTTTTAGTCTTTGCTAGGTTTCATTAACATGTATTATGGGGAAGAACAAAACCATTCACAATTCTCATGGTTCTTCCCACGAAGCTCAATCTTCAAGATCAACCAAAAAAGTCTCAACTAAGCATGTCGATCATAATTGTGACCCAACCCTCACTAGTGCACAAATCAAGCAATTCAGGGTTAACCTCCAAAAATGTGCAGTCAGGGCCACCAAATTTTACCACCAGGAGTTAATGATAAACCTTGGCATTGACCATTTATTGCAAGAGATGTTCTCAAACATGGATTGGAGTGATTAGCTAGATCTTTCAGCGCTCACATACAAGCAAATTTTGACTCCATTCACATTTCTCATGGTTCTCCACTTATGCATGGGATGACACGACAGAAGTGCTCAAATTTTGACTCCAGGTTCGGCAGCACCAAATCACATACGACACCCTCAAAACCATCATGGGCACATACAATGAAAATAACACCAGCATCTATAGCCGAGAATGGACTAGTTTCAAGTGCTTGCTAAAAGTAGAGTTTTGGAACCGTCTCACCGGTCTTTCAAACTACAATCTGAGTCGACAAAAAGACCCATACATCATCCATCCTCGTTGTAGAATCACACATCAGATTCTTTCAACTTCCATCTTCGTTCGCCGCGAGTTGGGACAAATGAACACAATCGATATTTATTTCCTCAATTGCATGTCACGACACAATTAGTCTAGCCCCAGTTTTGCTACTTTCTTTTCGGACAAATGTGACAGCGTACGCACGAGGACCACTGGCGAGATATGTATTGGGGGTCATACTACTCTAATTGGTTTGGGCATGAGACTTCAGTTTACCGAATATGAGTATGTGCCAGTGAGCTAGTCTACGTCCTCGACTCTACAACCCTTGTCTGGATGGAATTGCTTCTCCCTGTCAGCAATAACAATATCGCTTGGCTTAATCATGACAAAGACCCAGTATACATCTTACCATATTCCAATATCTCAACCTTTACCACTAAAGACCACGAGACTTGGTTTCTGCCTGGGGAGCTACGCTCAGAGGAGCATGCTGATGATGGAGGTGATAATGATGATGGATGTGATGATGATGATGACATACAGATGGATGACACCGATAATGATGACATCCCATTTGAGGCCAAGGACCATTATGACCACCCCATCTAGAAATTGCCACAACATATTCATGGTTAGTCCTCGGGAGCACATTTCCAACCACCACCTCAGTTCCAGTAGTTCATGCAGCATAATGTGCCAGGAATCGAGCTTGCATTTGATATCGACAGTCAGCTTGCCGCCTTGAGCTGCCAGGGCTACATGAATGAAGCAACCATTCGGTGCATTGAGGTGTAGCAGGCTCGCACCAACAACTATATAGAGGATCTCTGGCACCATTTCTAGCCCGATCGCAGTTATCGTCCCTGCGGGCCTCCACCACCATGAACCCGATATGATCCTTCCTTATTCTCATCCTAAGAAATGAGTTCAATGCTTCATTTTAAGCTTGGGGTGAGGTAGTCTTTATTTTATTTGCATTTAGTTTGTATTTAGTTGGATTTAGAGTACCTCATTTATTGTATTCATAAAATTGCATACAAAAATTTCAAAAATATTGCATATTTTGTTTCTTTCTTTTCTATTTTTTGTACTTTTTAGTTTCATTCTAACTTAGGTCTTCATGCATTTTTTATTTTCTCTTGTCTTCTCATCCCTACAGGTACAATAGCATAGAGTCGAAAGTATTAAATCATAGATTGGTTCCACGTCATGGTATGGAATTCCTTGTATTAGACAAATGAGACACACTTTGAGCCTGACATACCACTTTGAGGCTACTTATGTGGGGGTCAGATGTAGGTAGCTTGATTGGGTCTAGATGCGGATGGAAGTGGTTAGTCAGGATGATGTGTGCAGGCAAATATTAGACCAATAAGGTATTTGAAGACATTGAAGATTCACCTCTTGGTGAACTGTAAGATAGTTAGATATGTTTTGTTTATCTCATCACATTGATAAACTGTGAGGTGGGTCCCCTAATTCACATTTTTTTGGGACCTAGATTTTTCGGTAACACCAATTTTTTGAGTCATATCACAACCTTTTTATTAGATCTTGATACATTGTCAATGATCATTAGGAGTTCATGTTGGCCTCTATCTATTACTCATTTTCACGTTATTGGAGTCTTATGTTATATGGTGAGATTCCTTAGACCTTCCAAGAAGAAAGAAAAGAAAAAAACAAACAAAAAATGGAAGAGCATAAAAAGGAAACAATAAAGGAAGATTCAAGAAATGCAACAAATGAAAAGTCAAAGAGAAAGCAACAAAAAAAGAAGATAAATGAAGACAAAGAGCAACACAAAAAGAAAAATCAAAGTTCAAGCATTCTCTCCTCAAAAAAAATCAAAAGAAAAAAACGGGAGAAAAGAACAGAGGAGAGAAATACGAAGACGGAAGATCGAGAAGCAAAAAGATTGAAGACCAAATAACAGAAGTTCAAGAATGAAGATTTAGGTTGAGTAGATTTTTATTTTTATTTATTTTTATTTTTGATTTTGGTGAGAAAAGGCAATGAAGGTGAGACGGTAGAATGTAAAGGATAATAGAAGAGAGAAACCCCGAAAGTCGGATGCTTGCCCGAAGGTCGTGCTGGAAACCCTATTTTGTTATGATACACTTAGAATGACCAATGTAGGAATCATCATGTATGAATAAGTGTCTTTCTTCCTGCATTATGGTCTGCATTGTTGTATAGTGCCCCCATGGGGCGCATCCCCCTATTTCCTTTGTCTTGTACACTCTACTGGCTACCACCTTCATACGAGGTCTGTTCGCCCTTCAAGTAGTTCGAGAATGTGGTTTATAGCTCTAAAGTGGGGAACATTTGGAAGATGTGTAGGGTCCATTCAAGGCGGATTCTGACCATGTTGACTAATGTTGACCAAGTTCTAGGGTATCTTTCTTTTTTTCATTTTCGCTTAGCTCATATCGAGCTCATTTTAGTCTTGTTCCCACTTGAGGACAAGAAAGGTTTAATGTTGGGGTGATTTGATAGTTTATTTTATTTTCTTCTTTTTTATGGTTTATTTTAGAATTTTTAGCTTTTTATTAGTATTGCATTGTATATTCTTTCTCAATCTTTCTCTTGGATCGTATCAGGTACTTTCTATTTTGAATGAGATGTTTTGCAGGCTTTTGGAGTCTCGATGCAGTTGCGGTTTAGCTTCGAGATGGGCTTGGTGGGCTTGTGAAGAGTTATTAGGCTTTTCGGATCCATCAAAGAAGAATTGGGCTTTCAATGTTGAAGAATGGATGAAGTGGGCTTATGAAGATGGGTCATGGACTCTTGTAATTGGGAAATAGTGTTTCAGCACTATTTGCGAGGGTGGGGGTCTCGGTCACGCAAACTTGTGAGGGTACATGCGTAACTGCACACTTTGGGGCATTTTGGTCATTTTGCTCATCATTTACCTTGGGTGGTTAGGTTTGGTAGCATCACTTCGATTATTCCACCATTGGAGCACATTGGAGGCGGTTTTGTAGAGTTATATCTACATTCTTCTCATTCTTCTAGTAATTGTTAGTCTCTTGATGCAAAAACACTTTTGTGATTGTTATCTTGTTTCCATGAGTGGCTAATCTCTTTATTTTGGTTGAATTGGGCTAAAACCCTTGGATATTTTTGGGTTTTGAAGGATTCATGCTTGATTTTCATTTTTTTTATGTTTATGATTCTAGTTCATAATTCTTATGCTTGTTTAATACTTTGATCATGAGCTTGGTACTTGAATGAGAAATTTTTGGTTTATTTCTTTGGTTTAGCATTGAATCATTGAATTGATTAGAACAAGGGCTTTATGATGGTAGAAATCATCTCTAGGTTATGGATCATGACTCCTTTATGGTTGTGTAAGCATTGACATCCTCCATGAATTGGGGATTCCTTTATTCTTAAGGCTAATCAATATTCTTAGGTTTCATTGCTTCATGTGAATCCTTGATTTTGATTAAGAATGTGTGTTGTGGGCTTCCCCAACCTTCCTACTACCTTTGAGGAATCTTGGCATATCATGCTTCATGATTTCTATAACTAATTTGGGATGAATGAAAAGCTTGCACATTGAATCCTAACGATAAACACAGAAATGTCCATTGTGTTGAATTGCATTGGTTCACCAATTTTCTCCAATATTTCAGCATCTCACCATCTTGCTTAATTGCAAGATGTTTAGTTCTTCAAGTCTTTTAGTTTTCAAACAATCATAACCCCCCTAGTTTAATTGTAGTTAGTTAGTTTTAGTACACTAGTTCTATCGGATTGCATTGGTGATTGAATACAACCATTTCTCTGAGAATCGATACCCCTTTTTACCATTATATTACATTTTATTTGCAAGCAAAGGGCGAACTTTTCTTGGTGGACTTGACATCCCCTCAATATAAAATCGAAATCAACACATAGTATCAAGGATCATCTATGTTAAACGGAAGTCTGGGGTTTTTAGCCCATAACTAAATTAGAAAAACGAAATAACATGAAGTAAACTAGACCGAGTGTGGTTAAATCAAGAAAACCAAATGTATAATTACTTCTCGTCTTTAGATCTCTTCGAAAATTATTCTTAAATCGATATCTAGCCTCCTTAGGGTTTCTAGGGAGTTTTCGGTCGTCAATAATTGTAGGTAATCGTCGTTCTCTTCAAAATTCTTACTTAAATCTGTATTTATAAGTTTGCCAAAAATACGCCACCACGTCGTGGCATATGGCTCACGACGTCGTGGTGGACAATCCTTCACGTATCCTATAAGTTTTCCATGGAGATCATTTAGGAATCTTTTAATGCTCGACACTTCACCACGTTGTGGCATGCATGTGACCACGACGTCGCGAACACTCTTGCACGAATTATCTTATGATGATTGCTTTAAGTTTTCTAATGTCCAACCTAGCATTTAGCTCCTTTTTTCTTGAGAATGTATTTGTTGCGACAAAAACAAAATATAAACGAATTAAGTATCATTTATAGCAAACAACCACTAAATGTAGCTAAAAAGGTAAAGATATCGCCTAAAATATATGACTAAATATAGCGGTATCAAAATACCTCACACTTGTCTTTTGATTGTCCCCAGGCAAAACTGATTTTTATATTGTCATTACATCAAAACTTTATCCACTAATATTACATAGAATAACCCAGCTTAAATTCACCAATTATGTTTCACCTCAATGCATATATTTGAGTCTAAAATCCTAAATACTTCCTAAGCTCTAAATACTTACAATCCTCATAAACGTTCCTCACTTATTTTGAACAACATTCATTCCTGCATCCTTCCGAATACATTCTCTGAAAGTTTTCTTGACCTCAATGTATTTTTGTTAAATTCTCAAGCATACATACGATAAAATAACCTAGAAAGCAAAAAGTACAACTAAGCCTTTGGATTTTGGCAAATTTTGTCTTATTTTTCACTTTCTTAATGATTTTCATGCTTTGATAGTTCTTATTCACTCACAAACTTTTGACAGCTTTTTTTTTCTTTTTTTCATAACTCGCTTTTTTCTCTCAACTAAAAACCTAAAAAAAACACATGCTTAAGCTTGGAAATTTAACTTCAACCTTTATTGGTTAAATGTGTTAGTTTAAAGTGCAATGCCTACTTCAAGTTTCCTAGATATATTTTTTGGATTAGGTATATAAGCCCATTACTATAATTGGTATATACTTGAATTAATGGTAGCACAGTCCTTTTTGGTTGCCCTCAAACCTAGTAATTGAATACGATAACTTTTAGAGAGAGAGAGACTGATTTATTAATTTATTATATGATTAATAAATTAATTGGAAATCAAAATAAATGATTTGTTAATATATTATGAGAATAATATATTAATTAGAAATAGTAATATTTAATTAATAAATAATAAGAAATTAACTAGAATTAATTTTGGGATTAATAGAATTAATTAAAAGTACAGGGGTTAAAGTGTACTTATTTAATAGTTGAGCAAGAGGCATTCTAGAAGTTTCCTAAAACTATGGACGGTTTTAAGGAGGTATTTAGAGATCTAGAAGTATCCTTAGAGGATAATTAGTAAGTTGGATAATTATCAAAAGGAAATAATATTATTTTTTTCCTTTTAGGGTTATCTAGGGTTTC